CTTTGTGTTGTAAATTCTCACTTCTATGATGTTAACGATGTGGTGCTGTGGGATTGGTTCAAACATGCCAGCTACTCCTCCTAGGAAACTCTACATGGGGTCACTATGAGTCAGAACCAACTCAAGGGTAATTAGCAACACGCTGTTAATAACCAAATGCAATTGACAGGCTTAGGCTATGGTTTGAGTTAATGTCTTTTGAGATATAAAAGGAGAGAGAAGTGAGCAGGGAAACGGAGACCTACTATTACTAAGACACAAGAGCCAGGAGTGGGGTGCATCCTTTGGTCCTGGGGTCCCTGAGCTATGAAGCTCCTAGATCCAGGGGAAGATTGGTGCCAAGACCCAGGGAGATGTCCAAGGAATGCTGGACCTACAGATGCTAAAAGGAGACAAGGAGCTTTGTCCAGTGGTGACAAAGAGAAAACCTTCCCCTAGAACCAGTGCTTTGAATGTGGATTTCTAAAATGGAGTCCTGGTGTGGCGCTGTGGGTTAATGCACCAGACTGCAAAGCCGTTTGAACTGCAAGGTTGGCGGGTCAAGCTCACCAGCTGCTCCTAGGAAACCCTATACAGGATCGCTATGGGTTGGAACCGAATCAACAGCACTTAACAACAACAATAACAACACTGAGAAAGGAGTCCTGGTGTGGTGCTAGGGTTAATGTGCTAGACTGCAAAGCTGTTTGAGCTGCAAGGTCGGTGGTTCAAGCTCATCAGCTGCTCCTTGAAAACCCTATACAGGGTCGCTATGGATCGGAACCGACTCGACAGCACTTCACAACAGCAACAATACTATGAAAGAAGAAACTTCTGTTTGTTGAAGGCATCCACGTTTAGTATTTCTGCTATAGGAGCACTAGAAAACTCTAAGGAGCAGTCCTACTCTGAAACACGTGGGGTCTCCATGAGTCAGAACTGACTCCATGGCACCTGCTTATAACTAATTAGAAAATATAATGGAACAAAAGATCCTAATTCACAGTAACATGGAAGGGTGGGGGCAAGAAAGAACTCACATAACGAACTTAACCCGAAAAAAATGAGAGCGAATGACAATGCTGGACTGAATGATGGAGACTAAAGTGGAGACAGGCTGTGGTCTCTGGGTGGATATTGTTGTTCAGTGCCGTCAAGTCAGTTACGACTCATAGCTAGCCTGTATAAGGTTTCCGAGCAGTTGGTGGGTTTGAACTGCCGAACTTGTAGTTCGCAACACAGTGCTGATTCTACAGCATTAAATTAAATACGAATGTACAGGTTGGAAGGAAATCCAATTCAATTCTTGGTGGAACTGTTTTATGGACCTAAACACAGAATGACTCTAAAATTCACTTGTAATAATCAACACGGGCACCTAGGAAGGAGTGAAACCCACTGGATATTGAAATATTAGAAGTCTATGGAAATAAAAACAATGGGATGATGGGCAAAGATTTTACTAATCAACTGATGTCGTTTGTGGAAGCTGGAGTCCATCCAGCAGCACCTCGGAAGAAAGGCTTGGTGATCTATTATATAGAGGTACCTCGGAAGAAAGTCCTGGCAATCTACTTCCAAAACGTCAGCCATTGAAAGTCCTCTGGAGCACAATTCCACTCTGACACACATGAGGTCACCCTGAGTCAGAGCCGACTTAATGGCACCTGGGTCATGTAACTCATTTCCTGATTGGCCTCATAGAGACTCTAAGTGCTGCTAGAATTGGGGCCAGGTGGAGTGAGATTCTGTAGGTGATTTGGCACCTGGCTGTGCCCGCACACCTTTCCCAGGTGTTTCAGTTTGTCCATGGCTTTGGGGACCTAAGATACACTTGGGAGCTTGGTGAGACAGTGCAGTTCATAGTGAGGGTGCCTTGGGTGTCCCTGGGTGCAGGCCTCCTGTTAGCTCTCAGTTCCCCAGTAGGAGCCGGTGACCACTAGGAGATTCCCTGGCCTAGCTTTCTATTGTTCTTGGTTTTTTGTTTTTTTTCCCTTTCTTCCTGAAAGTAGTTAAGTGCAATGGAGTCGGTTCTGACCCATAGCATTTAACTACTTGTACAGGGTTTCTGAGGCTGTAAATCTTTATGGGAGCAGAAAGCCTCATCTTTCTCTCACAGCTGGTAGTTTCGAACTGCTTACCTTAAGGTTCGCAGCCTGATTCGTAACCACTACGCTACCAGAGATCCTAAAAGTAGAGGCTGCCCCAAATTGGCTAAGAACTGCTGATGGATCCCTCGTAGCACAAATGGTTGAGTGTTTGACTACGAAATGAAAGAAAGTTTGAAGGTTCAAACCCACACAGAGCCACCTCATAAAAATGGCCTGGTGATGTACTTTCAGGGTGTGGTACTGTAGGATAAAGCACTGGCCCACAAGGTTGGTTTGAACCACAGGTCAGGGGTTAAAACTTAACCAGCCACTCCTTGGAAACCCTAAACAGTGTTGTTATGAATCAGTCAGAACCAACTCAATGGGACTTAACAACATAACAATGTTAGTGACCGGAGGGATGGTTTGCATGTGGATGGCTTGCACTGCATTGAGATCTTTGATATAGAAGGGTGGGAGACAGGCCTTGAAATAACAAAATCACCACTTGTACACTCATCCCATAGCATGTTCTGAGGGAAAGGAAGAAAAGAGGAGTGCAAAACAGAGGAGGGGGCAGGAAGGAAAGAAGAAGGGAAGGAGGACCAAGATAGCTGGGGAAATCTCACCCTTCCTAAGCCCACCACGTGGGCCCCAGTGCCTTCCTGGCCGGCCAGCTGTGAGGGTCCAACTCATTGGCTTTTTTCTGACTACCTCCCACCCAGTCCTGGACTCCTGGTGTGGTGCTGTAGAATCAGCATTGGGCTGCGAGCTACAAGATCGGCTCCTTGGAAACCCCTATACAGGGTCTCTATGAGTTAGAACCACCTTGATGGCACTTAACAACAATAACCACCCAGCACTGGACTGTAAAATGGGTTTGAACTGCAAGATCAGAGGTTCAAACTCACCAGCTGCTCCTCAGAAACCCCTATACAGAGTCGCTATGAGTTATAACTGACTTGACGGCACTTAACAACAACCACTCAGCAGGCCCACGGAAGAAAGACCTGGCAATCTGCTTCTGTAAAGAAAACAGCCTGGAACCCCCCTGGGACAGTTCTACACTGCCAACTGGGGTCGCTGTGAATCGGAATTAATGAGATGGCACCCAACAACAACTTGGAACAACTTTGTGCAGGTGCCTACTGTGTGCCCAGGTCCAGCGGGGTGGCTATTACTCTTCCCATTTTCCCAATGGGGAAATTGAGGCTCTGAGGAGCACGTGAGCTTCAGGGTTTCCCAGTAGCCTGAAGAGCAAGATTCCAGCCCACAAAGGCTTCTGCCTGTCGTACACACACACACACTCACACACACATACACACACACACTCACACGTTCTTACCGACTCGGGGTTCTTGACGAAGACCTTGGTGCTGCCCATCTGGTACTGGTCAGGTTCCATGTTGACCGCCCGCATCAGGTGCTGGACACCCTGGCGCTCGTCCCCATGCCACCGCGGCCATGTCTCAGGAGTGAGGATGGCATACCTGGACGCAGAGGGGCAGCATGCAGTGTATGTATGTGTGTGCGTGTGCGTGTGCCTGTGCACATGTGCAAGTGAACCAGGTCAGCAGGTTGGGGCTGGCTGGTGGGGCACCTCACTCACCTCTGCAGGAATTTGGGGAACTGGCGGCGGTAGGCGAAGCCTGCCCTGCGCACCCGTATATTCTCCTTCAGGCCCAGGTATTCCACCTGGTGCTTGACCCTGTGGGAAGAGCAGCCTGAATCCCATGATGAGGGTGAGCGCTGCCTGACATTCGGTTACCAGGAAGGACAGACAGATTTGGTGGGTCTGCAGTGATTTAGGGGAGAGTTCTGGGGTCTGGGAGAGTCAGTGCTGGGGCCAGGGGTCAGCCTGGAGGCAGCTGCTGGGGGTGGAGCATGGGCTTGGGAGGAGGAGTCTGCACTTGTTGATTAGTTTGGGGGTCTGGGGAGCTGGAGGGATGTGCTAGTGCCTGGCCAAGCTATAGTTGGTCCGGGATCATCCCTGGGACTGGGGGTCTTGGCCAAGCCTAGGTGTTACCAGCTGAGGTCAATTCTGGGATAGGTCCTGGAGCCCTGGGAGGGTCCATGCTGGTTCCGGGGTAGGGGGTCACCTGCTTTCCTCCCAGTCACGGGGTCTCTTGGTCTCATTGGGTTTGATGCAGCGGATGTAGTGGGGAGTGCACCGCTTCAGTGTGGCCACAAGATCATTGGCTTGTTTCTGGGGTGGAGGGAAGGCAAGGGTGGGAGGCTCAGACCCCACCCTTCTCCCCAACCTGGAGACTGAGACACACTGAGTCAGTGGATGTTTCCTGGGGCTCAGGTGGCCTGGTCCGTGTACCCTTCTTTAGCCCACATGACAATACACCCAACACTCTCGTCCTCATCCTGATCCTTGTAGGCCCTGGCGGTGCAAATGATTAATGCACCTGGCTGCTCACCAAAACGTTGGAGGTTCTCGTCCATTCACAGGCACCTTGGAAGAAAGGCCTGGTGATCTATTTCCACAAAATCAACAATGGAAAATGCTAAGAGGCTCAGCTCTGCTGCGACAACTATGGGGTGGCCATGAATCGAGATCAACTCCACAATAGCTGGTTTTTACCGGCCCTGGCCCTGGCACCTAACTGGGGGTTCTCATAGCCGCAGCACTTAGTGCTTAGCAAAGGCCGGGCACATGGTAACCAGGGACTGTGGTGTCAAGTCACAGTGACTCCATGGGCATTGTAGTGTAGTGGTTCTGAATTGGGCTGCTAACCTCAAGGTCAGCAGTTCAAAACTACCAGCCAGTCTGCAGGAGAAAGATGAGGCTTTCTGCTCCCATAAAGATTTGCAGCCTCGGAAACCTTTTGCAGGGTCACTATGAGTCAGAACCGACTCCATGGTACTTAACAACAACAACAACCATGGGCATTGGAGTCCTGGTATGGTGCTGTAGGATAGGATAAGCACTGGACGGGAAGGTCAGTGGCTCAAACTGACCAGCCGCTCCTCAGAAACCCTATTTAGGGTTGCTATGAGTCAGAACCAACTCGACGGCACTTGACAACAACAACCGTAGGCATTAGAGTAGAACTACATTCCATGGAGTTTTCGGTGGATGAGTTTTGGTAGATGGCCAGATCTGTCTTCAATGGTGCCTCGGGGTAGTGGTCAAGCATGTTGATCGTTTGTGCCACCCGGGAACCCCTGACACTTGGTAAGTGCTCAGTGAACACTGGTTGACTGAGTGAGCGAGGACCTGGAAGCACAGGAGGCCAGGATTGACCAATTTGTGGGCGAGTTCTGGCTTCTGGGGCTACTTTGGAAATAGAGAATTGGATGAGTGTGTCCGAGAAACCAGGGTAGAGGCTAGAGACTGTGTGTTTGCATCTTAACACCTTGTTGTTATTGTTGACTACTGTGAAGTCAGTTCTGACTCATAACAACCCTGCATATGGTTTCCGAGGAGCAGGTGGTGAGTTTGAACCTCCAACCTTACTGTTACTAGTGCATACCAGGACCCCTCTTAACAGCACCACATCAGGACCCCTCCCGGCCCCTTGAAAACTGATCCAGGTGAAAGGGTGGGCAGGAGAGACCTGTTCTGATGAATAGTCTCAGCTCTGATGAACTGACTGCCCCTCACTGAACTCTGTCTCCTTGTTGGCCTAATGGCACATGTCTAGCCATTCACCATGGATGGATATCTAGATGGTTTCTGCTGCTAGGTTACTGTGGATACTGTTACCATGGACACGGGCCTACAAGTCTCTCCCTGAGTCCTTGATTTCAAGTCTTTTGTGCATAAGAGGGACTCCAAAAAGTTCATGGAAAAACAGAATGACAAGCAATGGGCTCTCTGCATGAACTTTTGACCAAGGATTGGGAATGCCAGGTCACATGGCAGTTCTCTGTTTAACTTTTTCAGCACTGGACTGCAAACCACAAGACCATCAGTTCAAACCCACCAGCTGCTCCTCGGTAACCCTGTACAGTTGGTATGAGTTGGAACCAACTCGACAGCTTAACAACAACAAACAACATTATGTGTTGGCAGCACAGGGTAAGCGCTCAATCTCTGCTTATTAAAATACTATCATTAGACTGAAGATGTTGGAAAGGTTGTGGAGGGGCCAGAACACTCATCCATGGCTGATAGGAATGTGAAATGGTGTAGCCACTGTGGGAACCAGTCTAATGGCTCCTCAAAAAGGTGGAGATTGGATCCAGCAACCCCAACCAGGCATTTATCCATCCATTGCTATTGTTGTTGTTATGTGCTGTCGAGTCGGTTCTGACCCATAGTGACCTTGCATAGGATTTCCAAGGAGCAGCTGGTGAGCTTGAACCGCCAACCTTGTAGTTCAAACGACTTTGCAGTCTGGAGCATTAACCCACAGCGCCACACCAAGACTCTTATCCATCCTTGTTGTTGTTGTTAAGTGCCGTTAAGTCGATTCCAAACCATAGTGACCCTGTATAGGGTTTCTGAGGAGACACTGGTGAGCTTGAACCACCGACCTTGCAGTTTAAACAGCTTTGCAGTCTGCCGCATTAACCCACAGCACCACACCTGGACTCCTTTATAGATGAGTGGAAAAACACACAGAATGGAACACTACTCAGCCACAAACAGGAATGAAATTCTGATGCTCGTCAGCATGTGGATGAACCACAAAAACATCCTGCTGAGCGAAAGAAGCCAGAACCCAAAGGACAAATTTATACGAAATAAGGCAATATAGAGCCAACAAAAACCAAAGCTTTTTTTGGGGGGTGGGAGTGGGGGGTGGGGGGGGGGGGGGGGGGGGGGGGGAAGGGAGAGTTGTTGTCTGAGGAGCCGCAAGTTAATGTTTCGGTGGTGGAATGATTTGGAAAAGGACAGTGATAAATATTGGCACAACATGGAAATGAATCCAGGTCATTGAATTATAAATGTGGAAGTCGTGCTGGTGAATGTTTTGGTGTGTATATTTTCACCACAATTACACACACACACCAAGGAGCCCTGGTAGCGTAGAGGTTAGGAATTGGGCTGCTAATCTCACGGTCAGCAGTTCAAAACTACCAGCTATTCTGGGGAAAGAAAGATGAGGCTTTCTGCTCCCGTAAAGATTTACAGCCTCGGAAACCCTGTACAGAGTCACTATGAGTCAGAACTGACTCCATGGCACATAACAACAACAACAACAACAACAACAACACACACACACACACACGAGGGGGTTTCACAAAGTTCGTGGAAAAGGGAATAGAAAGATAATGAAAATTTCCCATATGTCTTATGGAGCCGTGGTAGCGTAGTGGTTACACATTGGGTTGCGAACCGCAAGGTCAGCAGTTTGAGTCCACCAGGTGCTCCTCAGGAGAAAAATGAGGCTTTCTGCTCCCGTAAAGATTTACAGCCTTGGAAACCCTGTACCGAGTCAGAACCGACTCCACGGCACACCAGCACCGCCATATATGTCAAAATAATGATTGGTCCCTTCTGGACTTAGGCCATTGAGGGCTCATCAGGGAGGCTGACCTAAGCCCTCCAAACCCAGAACTGGAGGAAGAGCCTTCTGGATGGTGGGTAGTAGAGAATGGGGGTGGGGTGGGCAGAGGCCCCTAGGGAACGGGGAGGGCTGACAGGGACCCAGGTCATCCATATTTCCTTTTTGCTGGCTGCTGCAAGCCTACCTACCTTGATCTTGGAGCCAGCTGTGCTGGGGCGGCCCTTCTTGTCTACATCCAGCTTCTCAGGAAAGAGCATCTGCAGGAAGACACTGGGATGGGGGGAGAAAGGCATTGGAGATACAGTTGGGTCTTGGGGTGCTCTCCTCTGAGGGCACCCTGAAAAACATGGTTTGCCCTGAATGTGAGATATGAGCCATGGAGGATTGGTTTCATCCTGGCCCTTGCTTTGTAAGTGCTTTTGACTTCTTCCATGATTATACCCCAGTTGGGTAGCTAGGGAAAGAGAGTGGAGAATAATGGAAGTCATAAAATGTATCCATTTGTGCAGTAGGCGCAGTCCCCTTCTGTGAGAGGTGAAAAGATGTCCCTCCTCCCCCAAACAATGTTGTTGTTAGTGCTGTGGAGCTGACCCAGCTCCTGGAGACCTCATGCACAACAGAACAAAACACTGCCCACCCAGTCTTGCACCAGCCCCAGAATTGGTTGCAGTTTGACTATAGTGATCTATAGTGTTCACTGACTGATTTTGTTTTTTCCTTAAATGTTTTATTGTGAATTATGTGATCGTTTACATGGGAGAACATTAGTTTTACATTCATTCTATCGTATATCGTCTCATTGCCATGGTTACAATCCCCTCCATGCAATACTTCCCCCCCGTACGCCCCAGGTCTTCGGCACACAGTCGCTCTCCCTCTCTGGGTCTAAATCACTGAAAGTAGAGCCCCTGGCTTTTCTTCCTAGCCCGTCTTCTTTTGGAAGCGCCACTAAATCCCATTCAGCATCCTAACAACACACAAGCCTCCATGGACAGATGGGAGGTAGCTGTGCTCTAGGTGCCTTGACTGCAGATCCAAGGCTGAATCACCACTGCCTCATTGTCCCTGAAAGACGTCCAGGCCAAATGCCTAGAACTTTTGGCAAGGGGTTTTTACAGAGGTAATTAAGGATCTTGAGATCAGCCTGAGTTATCTGGGTGGGGCCTAAATCCAGCAACAAGTGTCCTTACACAAGAAAAGCTAGAGGGAGATTTGAGACAGAAGAGAAGACACAAAGAGGAACGGCAGTGAGACATTGGAGGCAGAGACTGGAGTTTTGTGGCCACAAGCCAAGGAAAGCCAGGAAAGTAATACCCCTTCAGAGGCATCCTGTTTGTACACTGTACACGTGTGTGTGAAGTAACGTACAAGGACACTCCCTATGGCACTGTTGATGGTTCTCAAAGAGGGACACAACCTAAGTGTCCATCAACTGGGGATCTGTGATGTATTGGCTTGTGTCCCCCCCTGCTAATAAATGCATTATCACCCCAATCCTGATACCCTCTGGATGAATATCCCATTTGGGAATAGAGCTTTCTTTGTTATAGTAACGAGGTCATAGCAGTGTAGGATGTGTCTAAAACATCTGAGTTACGAGGAGACACAGCAGGGAGAGACAGTCTTTATGCGAGGTTCACCAAGGAACCAAAGCGTGTCTGAAACTGAAAGAGACAAGGACCTTTCCCAGAGGTGGCGTCCTGACTACAGACCTCTAGCCTTCTGAACTCTCAGGAAAACACATTTCTGTTCTTTTTAAACCACTCCCCTGTGGTATCTCTGTTACAGTAGCACTACGAAAAGTAGACAGGATTGATTACATTGTTGCTACATGAAAAAGTAGACAGGATTGATTAAATACATTGTTGCTATATGAAAAAGTAGTCAGGATTGATTAATTACATGGGTGAGAAGTAGACAGGATTGATTAAATACATTGCTGAGTGGACAGAACTGATTAAATACATTGCTGGTACATTCAGAGCTCCATCCGCACCTCTTCAATGAGGGCTTCCCTGCCCATGTGTCTAAATAGAATGCCTTCTTCCTACCTGTTCCAGACCTTTATCTTCCTACCTCTTATCAATAAGGTCCCTGGGGAGTGCTAGATTCCACAATCAGTCAATCAAATCACTGCTGTTGAGTGGATTCCAAGTCATAATGACCCTGCCTAGAGTTTCTGAGGCTGTCAATCTCTCCAGGAGCAGAAACCCTCATCTTTCTTCTGAGGAGCAGCTGGTGGGTTTGAATTGCCGACCTTACAGTTAGCAGTCCAGTGCTTATCCTACACTTAACAATAACAACGAATGTCATAAGGAGCCCTAGTGGTATCCTAGTTAATCGTGTGTCTACTAACCAGAAGGTAGGCAGTTTGAACCCATCCAATGGCTCCTCTAGAGAAAAATCTGGTGGTCTGCTCCGGTAAAGATCACAGACTAATAACATAGACCACAGAGACAAGGTTCTACAGCCTGGCATCTGACTAACCATCTAAGGTACAACTTGGTCTCTCCCTATCTAGAGGAAAGAAGAAGGATGAAAATTGAAGCTTGAGAGAGAAAAAAAATTCTTTTTTCATGGATTCCTGGTGAGGCCCTTTAGGATCAACACTGGACTATGAACCACAGGGTTGGCAGTTCAAACCCATCAGCTGCTCCTTGGAAACCCTATACAGGGTCACAATGAGTTAGAACCAACCACACGGCATTTAAGAACAACAATGAACCATGTGACCATCAGTCTCCATGACCCCGAGATTACAAGAACTAGATGGTGCCTAGCTACCACATGACCCCGAGATTACAAGAACTAGATGGTG